TCCACTCCTTATCATCCACAAACAAATGGACAAGTAGAACGTTTTAATAAGACTTTAAAGGAATCATTAGCCAAACTCATTCAAGAACAGACTGAGTGGGATTTACACATCGCACCTGTAATGTTTGCTTATCGTACAGCTCAACAGGCAAAAATGTCACCTTTTCTGTTGACTTATCGACGAGAAGCCAAATTACCCTTAGATGATCATGTGGATCTACAAAGTAGAAATTTGATCGACAGAATTTGTCAAATTATAGAGAAATTACATGAAATTAGAGAAAAAGCAAAACAAATAATGATTGCTTTTAAAAGTAAACAGAAGACAGCCCATGATAAACAAATGGTTAAGCCGAAATCATTTGACATTGGACAAAAAGTTTTGTACTATGATGCCGCCAAAATGAATCAATTTACAGTAAAATTGGAACCAAAATGGAAAGGATCGTATAGGATTCACAAAGTCTTAATAAACGGATCTTATAAAATAAGGGAAATAGATGGACAATTACTAGCCAGACCTGTAAATGGTGATCTTTTAAAGGAATATTTTGATCGACAGACATGGGAACTCTATGTAGTGATCGACAATAATTTCAGTATTTAAAGGACAAGAAAAATATTCAATGTCCATATTTTTGCAATTTTTGAAAATCAAAAATGGATGATATTTATAACGACTTAATATGACTTGAGCCTATCCAAATGGAACTATGGTCAAGATCATATAATGAATCAGATGACGCAAGTATCAAAATGAAGACACTTCAAAGATATTATCGACAAGCAAAAATGATGAAAAAACGAATAGAAATGCTCGTTTATATGTACTTTATTGGAGAACTTCTAGACGAAATAGATGACTCTGAATATAAAAGAGTTAAGATAATAATGAACCGACATTAATATGAAGTATCCAGAAAAGTTTTCATTATTTTTAAAGAAATCAGAATGATGCAGTTATTAAGGACTAGAATCTTGACTACAACCAGAGTCCATAAAATTCCTAAGGCACAGATTTTTGATTTGATTTCGAGGACGAAATTATTTCTCACTACATTCGAAATTCAAGTGGAAGAAGATTTGTCAACGTTTGAAATCAACCTTACTGTGCCGATCATTAACGACTAATAGAATGATAACGTAATAAGCGTGACCAATACTGTGCCAAATGATCTGCAAAATTCTGGATTTTGATGATTCTTAGGAT